GTATGTGCTATGCTACTCTGCCTTAGGAATACCCTTCCCAAACTTTCCATGCACGTGTCCTTTTATCCATATTCCCTGGTGTTATGTGTGATCTATTTGTTCTTAAAGACTTTGTTTCATCATTCCCTTGCCTAATTCAGTGACCTTCCTCACTACCCCCACTGTCCCTTGTGTACATGTCTGTAACAGCAATTATTACTCTTAATTACATGCTTGCTTACTTATTTGCTTCCCACACTGAAGATTAAGGTATTAGAGGTTAGCTATCTTAGATTGCCAGATTCTTGGTCCCTAACAGTCCACAGAACCAAGTATGCTTAATAAATAAGCTGGGACAGTAAATCTCTAGATCTGAGAAAGAAGGAAGAACAGAAGCCACAATGTCTTCTCTTATATATGTAGGTTTCTTAAATGCATCAGCTAAAGTCCAAGACATTACTCTTCTACCTCATGACTGCGGAGAATAACAAGAATTATTTATTCATGGATGAGCACAAACACTTTTATTGTCTCTAATAACCCCTAACATTATTGTTTACTGTGTGTCTGGTGCATACATGTACTTTCCCCATTAAGCCTCACAATAATCTTGAGGTAGGCAGTAGTTTCACCTCATTTTATAGGCAAAGGCAAGAAGGCACAGAGAAGTTAAGCATCTCGCCCAAGTGAAAGAGATAGCAATCCAGGCAGTCTGGCGCTCCATAACCCATGTTCCTAACCGCTCTGCTACAAAACTCAGTACCTCCTGCATCATGGAAACTGTGCTTCAAAAAATTAAGTACTCCTCTTTTTAAAACATAATATTACCAAATACAATCTAAAGTTTAAAAGTTATGATTACACATTAACAGACCATTCCTTCCCAAAACTTAATAGCTCTATTACAACCATATTTCAATTAAAAAATTTACAAGTAGGTTTCACATTAGAAATTCCAAAGTATGTTTTTACTTATGGTTATGGTAATAAACAACTCTTCATTCACTACCACCATTATCATTTCTCAAGCTATTTTAGACTTTTAACTTAATGGGTATACAAAAATAGATAAAGAAACTGTGACATCAGTTAATTCATGGTAACCATTCAGCAATCAGGTAATTCTCAATCTTACTGTAACATGCTGTCAACTTCTAGATATTACAGTGGATAGGATGTATTTCCCTGAAAACATTCTCTTAATTTCTATTTCTAAATAACAGGATAATTTGGCAACATCATTTGGAAATTTTATTTATTAAAATGTCAGTAATGAATTGTTCCATCTTAGTTTAGAACTTACTAATACAAGTTATTCCTGGTACACTTTCTAAATTTCTTGTGATGGATGCTTCTGATATCTTATTTAACAAGAAAGTACTTTCTAATAGAGAAAGTAAGAGGTATTACAGAAGAGTCACTGTTGAAACCATGAACAAAACAATGAAGTAAATAACTATTATTACTGTGATTTTCTAAAAAACTGATACTCAAGTCATCACAAAGAAGTAAAGTATAATGGACTTCTATAATAAAGATCAATACCATCATCAAACTGCAAAATCTCTTTTTACCTCCCTAGAGGGTCTGTCAACTGTATCATACGCACACAGGTGTCCAAAATGCTGACTAAAATGTAACCTTTACAAAATGCTAGTGCCAGGTTCACTGGTAAGAGAGAATAAGCAGAACTAGTTTATAAACATAAACCATTGGTAGCTATCAATCTCGGCACATCAAATAAAAAAGGCAGGCATGAAAATTTTTAATAGGAGAAATCAGTCACTTATTCTAAGACTTGGGGTCCTGATAGGTGGCTCAGTCCAGGGTAGAGCTAATGTCAATGTTGGTTAACAGATATTACAATAATTTTTCCTTTATTTCGGGGATGTGGGTTTATGCCATATTGCTCTTTGCTTCTCTTCGAACAAGAAACCAGCAATTTATCTTGTTATTAGACACTGGTCTAAAATTAATGATGGCTTAAATATCTGAAAATATACCAACTCCCCTAAGTATAGCAATGTTTCAGTTAAAACTTAGTGTTTTCCTTTCAGCTAAAACTTAATATTAACATTTTCTGGTTTTCTTCAATGCTTTTAGTTCTAGGTATTTCCCACTCAATTCAGGAATTCTGTAATTTAAAAAGAACATTCAGGTTCCTAGCTTACACACAGCATTCATAGAATACGGCACTCAAAGCACTGCCTGGGTTAGTCATTACCAAAAGTTTCACCCATTCAGCTGTTCCCCAATAAGAATCACCACTAGGAGTATACCAAGTAGCGACTTCCTCTAAAGAAGATAAAGGAGTAATTTTGTTCCAGAATGAAAAGATATAGAGAAGAAAAATAGACAATAAAACAGATAATTTAACTATTGTTATTCACAATAGAGCCAAGAAAAAAAACCAAAGTTACACACTTCAAAAAAAGGGGTATGGGGTGATAGGCCAAAGACAAAATACTGGCATGCTGGAATTTTTTTTTTTTTTTTTTTTAAATATCTGTACAGGAACAAGGGACACTTCACATTTAATACATTGTCCCTATGTATTTAGTTCACCTCAGGATAGATCCAACTGCAAGAAAATGGCCCCAATGAACTAGAAGATTTCCTGCAACTAACAAACTGTACTCACAATAAGCAACATTTATCTCTATGCAGTTTTACAAAGTTCCCAATAATCTGATGTATATGGAAACTTCCTCTATGGAAAAAAAAAAAAAAAAAAGATGAGTCAGACACTACTACTGATGCATAATATAGGTATCAACTAGATAGGAAATTCAATTATTCTTGAATATTTAGAAAAAGTCTCATGCTTTGTTCGAACGTAGTAGGTTATTGTTAAGAAATTTCCCTTCCTCAACTCTCCAAGTTAGTAAATAAAATCAGTAATATTTACATTTAATTTACTGTCTTTTTCATTTAAAGAAGTATCTGTCTTCCTATATAGTAAGTTCATTTAAACGACTGCTCTTAAACTTTACTATACCCAAAATAGAAATTAAAATGAGCTTTGAAAAGGAATCTACCATTTTCACAAATACATTTTTAACCTGAAATCTTTTCAAAATACATATTGCAAATATGCTGATGGTGCCACACCCTCAGGCATTTTGGGCTACATTCTAATACAGTGTTTAGTGGGTGAGAACTGAAGTAACAGTGAAACATTTAAAATAAATATAAGACTTGCACTGAGAAACCAGAACCCATATAGCATGCGACAGTTAACAACATGGCCTTTTAAATGTTCAGCTATCACCCCCCCCAAAAGGTACTTCTAGAAACCATTATTTATATTTCAATCACAAACACTGCTCTTAAAATACAATCTATATCGGATTTATAACCAGATCTGAAAAACACAAATTAAGATGCAGCTTAGTCTAATTTCTCTGGCAAAGAGTCAAAAGTAAGATAGAATAATCTTACTATCTCTTATACATTCTGGCAAAAACAACAAAACCCAAAAACCCAGAACAAATAAAATGAGTCAAAATTGGCAATAAACCCATTATGAAGAGTGGCACTAAAGTGAAATTTCTGAACATACTGCTTTCTAAATATGTAAGTGCAATCTTACTGGAAAACACATATTTACAAAGATTCTAGAAAGCTACCACCAACTTGATGTCTAGGTTTTCGATCTTTATTTGGTCTCCATAATATTCAGTTGTCAGTAGTTTCAAGCTACATACGTAACTATATCTGGCGTGATTTTTATATCCTACTTACACTATTCAGTGTCCACATACAGATTTACAAATGTCCTAAGTGACATTATGTAGAATACTGTAATATTTTCCAGAGTAGCAACTTTGACTTTGAATAAACACCAGAGTATCTGGGCTATTAAAAACATTTTCTTTTCAATTTCTAAATTCTTCTTTTTAGGGAATCATTGACAAGAGACCAAACTTAAAAGTAAAAATGCCAAGCTTTGTCAATTTTAACAAAAAAGGGATTGCTCTAAACAAACCTTAAGTAAAAACTGCCCTAGACAAATATTAATAATCAAGTAGCACTCAACACAAATAAACACTTAACTTTCTTCTACAACACAGGAGCCTGTCCTGTAGCAGCCGCAGCACAGAATCCTGTGACAGACCGAGGCTGAGCAAGAGACCAAGGGTGCAGGATGGGATGAAGAAGGAAAAGGACGTAAACTTAAAACTTACAAAATTAAAAAGCCAATGAGTAAACTGTATCAGAAAATCAAATTCCAAGAGAATATTAATACGTAATTACCATAGCCAGAGTTAATCTCTGCCTTCAAGAATGGAAGACGACAAAACAATTCTTACCATCATACAATATACCAGTAGTAGAAAAAAATGAATTATTCACAGAATATTCTAAGAGGCTTTTCCTGGGGTGAGAGGGTATGTGTGTATGTGTGAAAGCTTACAAAATTAAAAATGTGAAACAACATGGATTCGTATTAAGATTTCATGATAATAGGAAAAAATTTAAGGAAAGAATATTTTCCTTGAGGGAAGAGTATTTCCCGTAACTGGTTTAAAAAGCACCTATGAAACCATGCTGTCCACTGTCACAACCAAGGTTTTGGATGCTTCTGTCAACTGCAGCATAACAAAAGGCATTTCACAGCATAACTTTAGGGAAAATGTTATCTGGTCTAGAATCACACAGAAAGCGAAGAAAAACTTTTAATTGCTTCTAAAACACCAATTTTTCTGGGTAGCAGCAATTTGCTCCTGTACATGCCCTTTCAAAAAAAAAAAACAGAAATAGGGAAAAAATTTGAGAGTAAGAATAGCAGCATTAAATAGAAAAGCAAATACTTAAAGTTTAAAATAAGGAAACAGTACTGTGCAACTTTCAATTATACCAAGTAAAGTGCACTGCTTAAATGTTCACTGATAACATTTTCCCTATATGTTGAAAATATGAAATCTAGTTATTGGTATCTTTTTATATTAAAAAAAAAAAAAGGACATTCAGTATTGTAGCCCTGATAGCTCTCTTCCAGTATTTTTTAACCATTCAGATGTATTTTATGGGAATATTTATTCACATAATTTTGCTTCATACATTTCTTTCTACACAAGACTGAATTTAAAAGTCTCTATAACATTTTCAATTACAGTAATAACATTTTAATAAATTATAAATTAACAAAATCTTCATATTTGCTTTAAAAAATCATTTATCAAACACTAACCTCCAGATTATCTGGAAAATTAAAGATGCAAATTGCTATAAATCTGGCATCCTGATTAAATTCTGATTTTTAAAAGTATATAAAATGTCCCTCAAATTATTCCAAGTTCCACTCAAGAAAATTTTATTTTACCCTTTTCATAAGTTACGAAGTTTACAACCTGCTAAACATTCTATCCAAATGTGGGAAAACTGTCTGGAGATGCAAAGCACAATAAAATAATTAAACATGAAGAGAACAAATAAAAATACCCGTTAAAACAAAGTTATTATAGCTGGCAGCACTTAAAATTGGTAATTTGTATTTTTTTAAAAAGTTGCATAGCTGCAAGATGATTCATTACTGATTAACTATTGAGCGGTTTTACTTATGAGGAAATAATACATTTAATAAATTGCAATTCAATCGACAATCTTAGATTTAGTTCATTAAAACAACTATGTAACCTGATTTACTCTTTGGACTGCATTCTGGTACTGTTACACCTTTAATTTCAAATATTAACATATTTTAGCTCTCCTATGCAGAAGTCTATTTTCCACTTTTGGGGGAAAAAAATAGAAGAACTTGAGATCATGGTCTACATTTAGACAATGTTTTACTGCTTGATTACATTTCTTGTTTTCACAGTTAAGACTTTAATTTATAAGAAGTACATTATGTGGTCTTCAGTTTAAGAATAGATGAATGCAGAAACATCGTGTTGGGGAAAATAAAGTGACCCCCAACTAAAAACCAAGTCAAAACACAACTATTTGCGCAGCTCTACAGAACTTAATAAAATCAACTTCTAAATCAGTTAACTTTGGCGTCTGAATACAAAATGTTTATCAATGTTACCTATGTAGATGACTATTAAGGGATGTGCAGCATTTTCAAAATCCCTGTGTGTCCTTTATATGCATGTTTGGTACACTGAGTTCTGTGGCAACTGTCCTCTCTTCAGCAGGGTTATCCCCCTGTATGATTGTCCATCTCTGCATTACCAAGTCTCACAGAACTCAAGATTTCTGGCTGAGTATGCCTGCAGTTTTTTCTTTTTCCAGAGACAGATCCTCATATCCTCTCAGTTTTTCAAGCATCTTGGAAAGACAAGAAAACCTGTGTGGAAGCAGATGCATTAGGTTTAAGCAGTGGTTCATAGTACTAATACCAATCAAAATACAACACCCATTTCCCCAGGAACACTGCTTTGGTTGCTATCCATTTTCATACACTTACTATTCTTAAAAACTCCTAAAATTAGTGTTCTACAAAAGAAAGGACAGAAGGACCAATTCAAGCTTCGAACAGTTACAGGAAATAGCCACCACGTAACAGGTTTTCTCCCTCCACAACAAAGACCACACCAGAGTACAGAAAACAGACAACACATAACACCTACACACCTATTAATCTTTCTCCAACTAACAACTTCCAATAAAAATAGTGAACAATTTCCTAACTAATCAAAACCTTAGATTGTTATGTATATCTATTTTGGGCTGTCCATTAAATTCTTATGCTGAAGAACATCAGAAATGCTGTATGTGCTGCTGCTATATGTCATGGTTTTTTTTGTTTTTTTTTTTTAATGTTTTAACAACAGGGATGCCTGGGTGGCTCAGTGGGTTAAGTGTCTGCCTCCGGCTAAGGTCATGATCCCCAGGTCCTGGCTTCATTGGTGGGGGGTGGGGGGTGGGGAGGGTGTCCTTGCTCAGTAGGGAGCCTGCTTCTCCCTCTGCCTGCCACTCCACTTGCTTGTGCATTCTCCCTGGCAAAAAAGTAGTATCTTTGGGGAAAAAAAAAAAAAAAAATGTTTTAGCAACAATAAATCCTCTTCAAACCCACAGGTTTAATCTGAGACAGCAAAGGGGATGGGCGGAATTTATCATCTGACAAGTAAGAGCAGTCAGAACTGAAGCAAACACTTGAGTGAAGATATTCCACATCTGTACATTTGTAAAAATGACTTCAAGACGCAGAGAGATTCCACTGACTTGTAGATTTGTAAGGGCCACTGCCACCAAACTAAGGTTATATATATTTATACGTATATATATATCAATAAAAAGATAACACTGACACATAAGGTAAGGAAACTGAAATGCTGTTTAAAACCAACATGCATAGACTATGAGACGAGACTCATGTCCCTTATACCCCATAAGCTCATTGTAACACTAAAGGAAAAATTTAGCTGACTGGATCATGAAATAAAAACATTTTTATAACCATAAAATCCCACCTCACATAAAAAAGCTTACTGCTTCTAAAAGACACATTTTACCTATAGGTGGAAAACTTTAGACATATTACCTTGGTATGTAAAATATTAAGATAAAAATTTCATGTTATTAGCATGGGGTTTTAGTCCTTCTCTTTAAATGCTTCTATAATTTTAGCCATACTTTTAGTTTATTGGCCCAGACATAAGGTTACACTGAAGATACTCCAAGCATCCTCCTCTTCAAAAAACCTGTTCACAGTAAAATAAAAACACACCTGCTCATATACTCAAAATATCACTCCATGGCCACTCTTCTTTTACACAGAAATCTTAACCCAATTCATACTTCCAGCGTGTCAAGGTCTGATCTGAATCACCTCATGGTAAAAGGTTCAAAGCCGATAGTCTTCTTGTAAACTCCAGCTTCTCAAGCAGTTCCCATTTCCCATGCAGAACCCTACCATAGTGGTGACAGAGGTCTCCCTTCTTGCTGCAGTTCTTACTTCATTCGCTGTAAGGGCTATTAGGTGAGCTTAAATCTCCTCTGTCAATAATCTGCTGCTACTGAATTATCCTCATTAATGACAATGATCTGTTCCAGTTTCCTGTCTTTAGTCTTAGCCATTCAGAAAAGACTGTTGGCAGTTACTGTCTTAGGTCTCTGAACACAAAGGCTCCAACTCCTGAAACAATTCCAGGATTGGCTAAAATGTTCTGCCTGGATGTAAAAACCCAATACTTTGTCATTTCTGGAAGTCTTCTCATAAAAAGCTTTTCATATATACAAAGATATCAATTAACTATTTTTTTTTCACAAAGCTAAATGATGTCATTTCACTCACTCCATGGAATATGGAAAAGAGCAATTGTCAAGTGAGTTTATCATTCAATTCACTGGACATTTTCAGATAATGCAGGATAATGAGTAAGCTACATCAGCAGAGCAAAACAAGTTCTGTACTTGGTTTAAAATTCATTTTTTTTCTTTTTTCCTCCTACTGTATAAACAGGCACTATGTAACATGCTGAGGATAGTAAGGTACAAGACTGAACTGAATGAATGAGAACATGATGCAACTTCTCCAAGAAAAAGCCCCTACCTAATTATAGCAAAATAGCTAAGAACACAATCTTTGCAGCCAATATGCCTGAGTTCGAATCCCAATTCTACCAAGGAACTAGCTTGACAAGTCAAGTTTTGTAACCTCTAACTCTGTTTCCTCAATCTGTATAATGGGAAAAGGGATAGCAAGAGTCCTGAGCTCAAAAGTTTGCTACAACAATTAGATGAGTTATTAATAGATGTAAAATGCTTATTAGAACAATGCCCAGTACGTAATAATACAACATGAATGTTAACTAATTATTATGATTAGAATTATAATCTTATATTGCATTACCTAAGAACATACCCATCAAGTTTGGAATAAGAACACAGAATTTAATTCTGTTTCCTAAAAATGCATGCCCGGGGCTACTGTGCGTAGTGCTTCTTAAAGTCATGAAATTAACTACTTTGGCCCTCAGATTTCTTAGTGGAAAAATGGGGTAATATGTACTAATATGTACATATGCGTAGTACATGTATGAAGTTTATACCAACCATATGTTTCATGGATTTAAGCATTAAACTAGAATTAAATGTGTTTTAAAGTACCAAGAATGGAGAAGTTAGTCAATATGTGACTTTCTTCAGCAATCAAAAAGCTGCTTTCTATGTATCTTTTCATATGAGTTTTTTACATGGTTACCTAACAGTGTCTGGGATGGACACGCGCGCGCGCACACACACACAGGCATGCTTCTATAAATGAATGACTAAAAATGGTGGCTGAGAATGTAGAACTTAGGTAACAAGTTAAAAAGCAATTAAAACAGAAAAAGGGAAAATTACCTATAAAACAGGAAGCTGATGCTTAATCTGAAGGGTGCTCAGGGCAAGATCTATTTACTTCAAACCATTCATCTATGCAGCTAGAAAAGAACAAAACCAGAAAAATTTAAACACTTATTAATTATTGATGTAACAGCCATAAAAAAAACTTTCTTGACCTTAATATATATTTACAGGAAAAAAATTCAGTATTTTAAACGAGCATATTTGGCATATGTAAGTAAAAGATAAGGATCTGTTTATTACATCTTTTTTTTTTTTTTTTTGGTACTCTTTATACCCAACTTGGGGCTTAAACTCATGACCCTAAGATCCGAGTGGCATCTTCTTTGGACTGAGCCAGCCAGGAATCCCACATTGTCATTATTCAGAGCAGTTAAGGAAATATCTTTGTAAAATTAAAGTACTTAAAGTTTAAATAGAACCATTACCAAAAAAAAAATCTAAAGAACTACCACTTTACAAGTATTCAAAATTAAGTGACAAATCTGTACATTTTTCTCTTCAAAATATTCATTCATGTAAATATCAGTCTGTTCATGTACCTATCAATGTAATCAAAAACAGCTTTTAAATTCTAATTCTTGGGGCACCTGGGTGGCTCAGTGGGTTAAGGCCTCTGCTTTTGGCTTGGGTCATGATCCCAGCTCTCTGCTCAGCGGGGAGCCTGCTTCCTCCTCTCTCTGCCTGCCTCTCTGCCTACTTATGGTCTCTATCAAATAAAATCTTCAATAAATAAATAAATAAATAAATAAATTCTAATTCTTCACAGTACTGCATCTTTTAAGAGACTGTACTTCAATACTCACATGTAATTATAGCCCTTTATTTAATTCTATCCCATTCTACAATACATACACATATAAATACACAATCATCCAATTTATAAAGTATTTCATGACCTTATTAGAAGTTATATATTAGGGTGCATATAATTATCCTCACTGTAGATCTGCACTGTTCAATGCAGTAGCCACAAGCCACATGTGGCAATTTAAATTATGATTAGATAAAAGAAAAATGCAGTTCCTCAGTCACACTACCACATTTCAAGTGCTCAAGAGCCACACGCATAGCTATTGGCTATTCTACGAGACAGCACAGATACGAAACATTTTCATCGCTGCAGAAAAGTTCTGATTCACTGTGATAAATGGTAAGGCCTTGATAAGGTTAAGTAACTTATCCAACAACTAGGTAGTTACCCAAGCAGAATGCAAACTGCTCAACATTCTTATAGTTGACACATGTCAAATTTAAAAATGCCACAAACCTTGAAGGCTTGGCCAATATGCTTACAGGCAAAATTATTATGTATCATTCTCATACTCTGATAGGATAGTTTGGTGGGTAAAAATAATGGATGAAATTAAAAGGAAAACGGGTAAAGTATCTCCTTCACACAATATTCTTTCAAATATCTAAAATAATTTGTTGCCACTTAGACTTTTGTTGTCTAAATAATCATGTCTATGTTGGTTTTTAGCCTGCATTCTATCCTACTTACTTGGCTCTAGTGGTCCCCTGATCTACTGAAACATCCCTTAAATGGGGCGCTTGGGTGGCTCAGTTGGTTGAGCGTCCAACTCTTGATTTCAGCTCAGGTCACGATCTCAGGGTCGTGAGGTCGAGCCCCATGTCCGTCTCTGCACTAGGCCTGGAGTCTGCTTGGGATTCTCTCTTTCCCCCCTCCCTCTACCCCTGCCACCCAACTCAAAAAAGAAGTATTGAACAAAATACTCCAGATCTATTAACAACTCACTGCACTTATGTGATTAAAATGGGTAGTTATTTTACAAGCCATGTAATTCTGACTCACACTGAGAAATTATCATTGTAATCTTCCATAAATACAAGTGTATTGCAATTTATGTGTCCATTCCTGACACTTTCAATGATGCTATGAACATTCTTATACATGTCTCTTCGAGCTGGGCTACTCAAAGAGTGGCCCACAAACACAGTGCTAATCCATGAGCTGTTTATTTCACCGTGGACCTGCACACCTAGTAGCAGCACTATTGTAGAGCGTAAGATCAAGAATTCCCCCAGGGCTTACACTTGGGAGTACAATGACTGAGTGTAGAATATATACAGTGCACAACTGTGACAGAGTTATTCACCAAGTATACCGACTTACATCTGTGTGTTTACTGGCCATGTGGGTTCTTTTTTTTTCCTGAATTGACTCTTAAAAACTTTTGACAAATTTTCTGTTTTGTCTTTTTCTTCTAGGTTTATAGGAAGTTATTATCCAAATACTTCAGCTACAATGTAGTATACACATTTCTGATGAGCATTGCTTTCTATAAAATCATACACTAAATCTAACAGGGCTTATGGGAAAAACCATGTTGAAGACAGACCACTCAAACAATACAACCTTGTAACCAGAACAAAGCTGTGTTTGTTCCAGATAAATAAAATACCACTGTAAATATGGGATTTTTTAAAAACAAGGGTGAAGTCAGCTTGACATAAAAAGGACTAAGGAAGGGGTTGCCTGGTTGGCTCAGTCAGTGGAGCAGGGGACTATGGATCTCAAGAGTGAGTTCAAGCCCCACACTGGGTGTAGAGAGAACTTAAAAATAAAAAAGAGGACTAAGGAAGGATTAGTATTAATATGGGGACAAAAGCCCAATGCACAATTTGAGAACTAAAAATGAAGTAAGCAAGCACTTCCAAAGTGAAGCCCGTAGTCTAACTGAACTGGGTTTAAGAATGTTTGGGGGACGGATACTCTTATAGTATTAGGTACACCTCATATCCTGGGGCTGGGTTCCAGAACACTGCATAAAGTAAATATCACAATAAAAGGAGTCAAATCATTTTTTTTGTTTTCCAGTGCATATACGTATTGTGTGTGCGTGTGTGTGTGTGTTTGTGTAAAATTAAATTTAAGAGACAAGATAGCGGACCACTGGGGAAGGGAGAGAAAACTGAAAGGAAAGTCATCAGAGAGGGAGACGAACCATGAGAGACTCTTTCAACTCTAGGACACAAACTGAGGGTTGCTGGAAGGGAGAAGGATGGGGTAACTGGGTGATGGGCATTAAGGAAGGCATGGGATGTTGATGAGCACTGGGTGTTATACGCAACTGATGAATTACTGAACTCTGCATCTGAAACTAATGATGTACTATTATACTGGCTAACTGAATTTAAATTAAAAGAAAATATACATAATTAATCTATATTTATAATAAACTTATTTTATTAATCTAATTAGAAATACTTTATTGCTAAAATAGGCTAACTACCATCTGAGCTTTTCATGAGTCATGATCACTGATCACTGTAACGAACAACTAACGAGAAAGTTTGAAATATCACTGGGAATTACCAAAATGTGACACAAAGATAGAAAGTATGCAAATGCTGTTGAGTAAATATTGTCAACAGACTTGCTCTAGGCAGGGTTGTGAGAAACCTTAAAATTTGTTTAAAAAAAGAAAAAAAAAAGCTCTGTATCTGTGAAACACAATAAAATGAAGTGCAATGAAACAGGGCATACCAACGCCGTGGTCTCCCACGGCCTGCTTCCATATGGACCTTCACCTGGTTTTATTTGACGGAGCAAACACTAATGCGCTGAGAAGCATTCTTTAAGAACCAGTATGAAGATCGTATCATTACACCGTCACTGTCCTCCCCCTTACCAACCGCAACGAGCTAACTGCATTACAGAAGGCTGCTGGAGGAGAAGCTTGTTTCAGATACCGTACCAACAAAGTGTTGTTGTACGTACTGGAAAAAAACTCAATCTGAGGTCTAGTTTACTTTTACTTTTTTCTAGTATCACAATGCAAAAAAGTTTTAAATTTTAATACAAATTTATCAACTTTTCTTTCAAGCTTTTATTGGGGGGGGTATCTTAGCCCTAAAAATATTTCTCACCAAGAGATCTACATTTCTCTACCTTCTTTCTAACACTTTGATTTTTATTTCCATAGGCACATGTTTAGTCAGTTGGGAACTGATTCTTATTTCAACTATAAAATAAGGATTGACTGTTTTTCTACATCAGTAACCAACTGATCTCAGGACCATTCACTGAATTCATTCTTTCTCTTGCTATTAATACCACCTCTGCCAAATCAATTTTTTATTCATTTACTTACCAAATATTTACATAGTATCTATTATGTGTAAGCACTTTCTAAAATTTAACTCATTTGAAACCTAACAACCTGATGAAGTTGGTACTACCACCTCATTTTATAGACTGGGGGAGGGAAAAACTAAGTACAAGTTGACCAAGATCACACAATGAATTAGTGGAGGGGCTGGGATCTGAATGAGGAAAGCTTAACTCCCAAGAATCCATGCTTTTATCAACCCTGTGCTATGGTGACTCTCATATACACACAAATGTTTATGGACTCTATTCCTATGCCCTTTCCATACTTGTCTTAACTAATAGTCTTAAAATGTGTCTGTACAGGGCAAGTCCCCCCAGCACTTTCTTCTTCTTGACTGTGACTGTTCTTGCCATATGGACTCTTTGGTTCATGTGTATTTTGGAATCCACTCATCAAATTACATGAAAAAACTAGCTGAGATTTGAATGGGATAATATTAACTACACAATTTGGGGTTAAGTGACATCTTTATGACATGGAGTCTTCCTATCCCCAAGATGGTATACCTCGAATTTTAAATCTTGTGTATCTTTCAGCAAAATTTTAAAATCTTGAGTATCTTTTGTAGGATGTATTCTCAACACAGCTTACAGCTATTGTAGGCTTTGTGGCTGTTAATGTCATTCTATTAAAAGAAAGGTTTTATTTTCTTTTTTCTTACTGGAATATAAATGCAACCAATTTTCATGTTGAGCGCCTATCTAGCAACCCTGCTAAATTCTTAATCCCCCACCTTTTTTTTTTTTTTTTTAAAAGAAAGAGAGCAAAAGAGAGAGCACACACATATGTGCACAGAAGGTGAGGGACAGAAAGGGAGAATCTTAAGCAGGCTCCATCTCAGGGAGGCCTGATCTGATGACCCTGAGATCATGACCTGAGCCGCAATTGAGAGCTAGATGCTTGACTGAGCCACCCAGGTGCCTCAGTTCTCATTAATTTTTTTCTAAAGATCTTATTTGAGACAGAAACAGGGAGCAAGCGAGTGAACGGGAGTCAGGGGAGAAGCAGAGGGAGAGCCCTCTGAGCAGGGAGCCCAACACTGGGCCCTATGATCATGACCTAGCTGAAGTCAGACACTTAACCAACTGAGCCACCCAGGCACCCCTCTTATTCATTTTAATAATTTATCTAACATTTATTCTTTAATTTTAATAATTTACCTAACATCTATTCTTTGCTTTTGTTTTGAAATCATTAATTCCTAAGTATAGAGTTTTACTGAATGTTTTCTCATATTTGTTGAGAAAATATGGTCTTTCTCCTTTGTTAATGTGGTATACTATATATATAAATTTTCTCATCTTTTTAAACAAGATTTATTTGTCAAAGAGAGAGTGAGCGAGAGAGAGAGAGAGCACACAAGCAGGCAGAGGCAGAGAGAGAAGCAGGCTCCCCGCTGAGCAAGGAGCCCAATGCAGGACTCCATCCCAGGACCCCGGGATCATGACCTGAGCTGAAGGCAGCGGCTTAACTGACTGAGCCACCCAGGCACCCCTAGATTTTCTAATCTTACAGTGTCTTTACATTCCTAGCATTAATCTAATTTAGTCATGAGGCATTACTTCAGATATATATTGATGAATTTGGTTTGCTAATATATTTTTGGATTTTTTCCATTTATGTTCATAAATAAGAGTGCCTTCTAATTTACTTTCCTATACTTGTCTGATTTTACTTATTTTTTAAAGATTTATTTGTCATGGGGCACCTGGGTGGCTCAGTGGATTGGAGCCTCTGCCTTTGGCTCGGGTCATGATTTCAGGGTCCTGGGATCAAGCCCCGCATCTGGCTCTCTACTCAGCGGGGAGCCTGCTTCCCCTTCTCTCTCTGCCTGCTTCTCTGCCTACTTGTGATCAAATAAATAAATAAAATCTGGAAAAAAAAAAAAAAGAAGATTCTCTCTTAAAAAAGTTAAAAAAAGACTTCTTTGTCAGAAAGAGAGAGCACAAGCAAGAGGAGTGGCAGGCAGGAGGAAAAACAGACTTGCTGCTGAGCAAGGAGCCTGATGCAGTACTAGATCATGACCTGCGCCAAAGGCAGAGGCTTAACCGACTGAGCCACCCAGGTGTCCCACCTTATCTGATTTTAGTATCAAGTTTATACTATTTTCATAAAATAAGTGGGAGAACCTACCATATTTTCCTACTATTTGAGGTGTTTACATTCGTTAACATGGTATTCTTTGGATGTCTGGTAGAACCTGCTGTCAAACCATCTTCTGTAGGCCTGTTTTTAGGTCTTGACTTAATTTTTAGTATTTGTTGTTTTTCAAGGTTTTTGTTTTTTTTTAAACTTTTATTTATTTATTTATTTATTTTACAAAGAGAGACACAGGCAGAGAGGAACACAAGCAAGGGGAGTAGGAGAGTGAGAAGCAAGCTTCCTGCTGAGCAGGGATCCTGATGCAGGGCTCGATGCCAGGACCTGGGGATCGTGACCTGAGCTGAAGGCAGATACTTAACAACTGAGCCACACAGGCACCTCTCAAGGTTTGTCTTAATAACTACTTGTGATAGTTATTAGTCAACTCAGATTTTCTTTCTCTTTGAATCATTTTGGTAATTACTATATATAACATATAATTAATATATAATAAATATATATTATATAAAATATAATATATAATGAATTGGAAATAGTTATATTCTTAAGGAAATGACCTGTTCTGTTTATATTTTTAAATCAAAGACTGTAAAATTTTTCAAAAAAATTTCCAATTATTTTTCAATTCTACTGATTCTCAGTTATCTGTCATTCCTATACTGTTCACTTTCTCCTTCTAGCGACAAACCTGCCAGAGGCATATCTATTTTATTCATCTTTAAAGAACCAACTTTTGGCTTTGGTGGTCTCTACTCTAGTGTGTAATTTTTTTATTTCATTATTTTCTTCTCTCACCTTTATTATTTTGCTCTATTTTGTGTTTATTCATTTTTCTAATTTCTTAAGGAGAACTTGTTTAATGATTTTGTCTTTCTTCCTACTCTAACACAAGCCTTCCAAGGATCACCCTAGAAAATGTCAAAAGGGTTTTTCATTATTATTCAGTTTTGAGTATTTTTAAGCTCCATTATGATTTCTTTTCTTTTTGGGGGGTGGGTGGGAATGGGGAGAGAATCCTAAGAGAGCTCCACTCCCAGTGCGAGGCCCAACAGAGGGCTTGATCTCAGGACCCTGAGATCATGACCTGAGCTGAAATCATGAGTCAGACACTTAGCCAACTGAGTCACCCAGGCGACCCTCCATTGTATTTCTTCTTTAATCTACAAATTACTTAATATTATGTATGAAGACTATTCATCTTTTATTACCAATATATAACTGGCCAGAGAACACCTAGCTTTCTGTATGGCACCAATTTTTTATAGTTTGCTAAAACTTCCTTATGGCCCAGTACACCATTAATTTCTGTATATTTCACATGTGCTTGAAAAGAAAATGTACTAATTGCTAGGTGCAGATACACATACATCCATCAGACAAACCTGTTAACTGTACTGTTTGATTTTTCTAGGTCTTGACTCGTTTTGTGTTTACCTGCTTGAGTCAATGAGAACTGTGCTGAAATTTCCCATTATCATGACATTTTTGTCCACTTTTTCTGACAGTTCTATAAATATTTACCTTGAGACTATGTTCTTAGGTTCACCCAAAACTAAGCTTTAAATACCTTTATGATACCATACTAGTAATATTTTTGTTAAATTTATTTTGTCTGGTATTAATTTAGCTTTGTCAGTTTGCTTGTAGTCCATATTCACCCAGACATAATTTTCTATTTCTTCCTTCATTTTCACATTTTTCTATATGCTTATGTTTACGTGTGTTGCTCAGCAACGGCATATCCCAATCTTTCAGTCTGCTTTCAACTGGTGAGTTTTATTTAGATTTATTAAAATTACTGATAATTGATTTATTTTTGCCTCATTTTGTATTATTTATTGTGTTCTCCAACCACACCTTTAAATAAAATTCTACCTCATTCTTTTTATTGGTTTGAAATGTTACGGTTTTGTTTTTTTGTTTACCTTAAAAGATTTTTTTTTTTTTTAATCTAAAAATCTTCCTATGTTGCTCTAAAACCAAGAGTACTTTATGAGACTCTAGATGGATGTTGGAGCCAAAAAGAGGTGGCTAAAATCTCACCACTTCCACTTACTAGCCATGTGACCTTGATAGATTTTCTGTGGTCCCTCGGCTTATTCCCTCAATCATAAAATGGGATTGTTACAAGGTTTACATGAGATTACCTAGCTAGATTGTTATGGACAATACCTGGGTACCAGCAGATGTTTAACAAATGGTAGATTTCTGGATATAAACCAGATCTGGGCTTAAATCTTAGTTCTAACAGGTAAAAAGGGCTGTTGCTTTTTTTAAGAAACAGGGGGACTCTGTTAAGAGCTCTCTTAAGAGAGTTCTCTTAAGAAGAGAACTTTTCAGCCCTAAGGACAATGTCTGAAATTTTGAGAAGCATCTCTTACTCTACTATCAACTTGGTAAACATAAAAAGAAACTTACCCTTTATGATATATGCATAGACAAGGCAGTCGTGCTATAGTATCTCCCTGCTGCAATTCTTCAAGGCATATTGCACATTCCCCAGCATCTTTACTCAGTACATCCTCTGAGGAAAGAGAAAGTGAATTCAGGACAATAAAACTGAAAAATGAATTATGGGAACACCACTTAGTAAAGAGTGGTGACTCTTTACATTTTGTCATATTTGGCATATTTTGTCAGAAATACATAAAACACGTATTTGAAATACTATTCATGAGTCAGTGAATAATACTTACCTTTACTTATAGACAGAATCTTATTTCCATTTACATTTCACTGAGGCATTACAGTAAGCAAGAACAGTGCAGAATCCTCCAACTTGCAAAGGACTTTGCTATAAAACTTCATCAGCAAGTCAGTTATTTGCAATTTGGAATTCATTTCCTTCTCTTACTAATCAATATTAATTTGATGCCCAAGATAGCTAAAAAAAACAAACTTAAGAGTATAATGTGGCTGAAAAGATATGAAAATACTATTATAATTTTAAAAATTCTAAAATAACAAAATTGGTAAGCTAAAGAAATCACCCCGAGTATGGACTTCTTAAAAAGATCTGCTTAACTCAAGAAAATAAAAAAAAAAAAAGGTAAAGTTTTGTGTAGACTCTGAAAGGGACTTTAGGAAACTTGAGGATTTCAGATATGCAACAATTCTTCTTACTCCTTTTCTAGAACAGTGCCTGGCCACACCAGGGAGCAATTAGACTGGCTTTCAGAGGGCCCTGCAGAGTGTTTAAAATAGTGCTACAGTAAAACCCTTTACAAAGTGAAAACTCCTTTTGGAGGGGGGGGTGGATTTCCTTCAATTGATGTTTTATACTAAAAATTTAAAATTTTTTTAAATGTTGAAGCTTAATTTTTTAAAGGATCTTGCCAAAAACAAGAGTATGTTAGCCAGATAAAATGATGAAGAACTAAAACATGCCACTGCTAGAGAGTATGGAAAAACTGCCAAATACATGAGAATGTATACTCAGTAAGTGTAGAGAAGGGAAAACTAAAACAGGAAAACAATATGAATTTATACCACAAGTAACCAAATTACTGTCTGTAGAAATAAAAATCAAATAGGCTAGAGAAAAGACTACACCAACCTCTATCTAAATGCTTAAAGTGCAAGGTTCTAAAAGTGCCTAAAATTATCTGGCTGGTTCTCCCACACCTCCTATAAAAACCAACAAACTTAATTGTGCGTATACCTGTAATTGTTCCCTGTAGAAAGTGCACTCTCCAAGAGGTAGTTCGCCCTTCAGTTATTCATTTTGAGAGCACAGTAAGAGGAAACACAGACTCTATTTCTATCGGGTCTACACCAGCAGACAGATCATTTACCCGTAAGGCTGGAGGGGGTAATAGGGCAACCTCTGCAGATAAAGGCCTTGGCAAGAAAAATTTTTGTATTCAGAATCTAGGGATTATGGATGGGATGATTTTAGCCAACTACTGGGTAGTTCACAAGCCTATGTAGGACAATCAGAAACTTGACCAAGGTAAGTAAAGCTGGGTAAATGGAAAATGCTCTCATTAACACCCCCCTCTAGTATCTTATCCCCATTTTTCTCTTCTTCACCATGGAGGTCCCACCCTCTACCTCTACTCCACCCACCCAAACCCTGACCCCAAGTCTTTCCTTCCTTCTCTTGATCTCCATTTTTCTCTTATTGTTCTGGATCGCTTTCCACAGATTAATGATTATGTAAAAAGTTTAATGTAAAAAAACAAACAGAAAAACCTAATTAGTGGCTATTAATTGGTATACTGGAACCCACAAAAGGAGGCCACTCCACTGGCTCCACCCATGTCACAAATCTAAACCTAAATCTTTCTGCCTTTATGGAAAACACCTCACTATCAAGGCAACTTAACACCAGTCACAATCCTCCAACTTGGCTTTAGCTAGCTGAAGTTACCCTAGAAAACAGGGCCTTCCAGGCATTCCACCCCCTTTCCGGCTGCCTCTTCTAACATATAAAAGCCACTCTTGAGAGAGTACCTTCAAAAGTAGTGGAGAAGCATTGTACTCCCTCAATCTATGGATTATTTTCCCTTGAATAACGTACATCAAACTCATTACTTAATTGTTTCAGTTTTGCCATATGACACTAAGGATGACAGCAGTAAGAGGATGTGAAGGAGACACTGAAGATCTTTAGTAAAGGCCTGTAACTCCAAATAATATAGCATATTCTCACAGCATCAATTTCTTTCACCGTAAAGATATACCATGATATACCACATCGTTAACAATGAATGTGAGTTATACAATAAAGTTAAAAAAAAAAAAAAAAAAAACACAACAAAAAAGATACTTTTTACTAAGCATTTAAAAAAAAAACCATTAAAATGACAAAAAAAATCAACTTTAAGATGCATCTCATTTTCCAGAGTTGTTAAAGTATGAAAAGGAAGAATGTCTCAGAATTGGTGAGATATGGTATCACATTTTCTATCTTTTGGAATATATTACTATTGGATCTAGATTTAAATCAAAATGAACCATATAATGTCTATATCATCTTATTTAAGAAAATGAGACAGACCAGCTTTTAAAAAATAAAGAAAAAGCACTATCATATTTCTGCCACATGCTACTATGTAACAGATTGTCAGCACTAAATGAAAAGAACTGAAAATCATTAAGTATAAGCTCCTGAAGGCCCTGTTCACAGAAAAGTGTCTTAACAATACTTTTATGGTGACCTATGACCAAGTCTCAATTCTTTATTAGAATAGGTCTTTAAAAATCTTTGAGTTGGGAAAATTTTAGTATCTTGAAGGTCTTGGTTTTATCCTGTTTTTAAGTAAAATTATTTATGGTACAACAAAGACAAATATAATCTGCATATAATTAACAATAGTGATATTTATTTTAAGAATATACTGCTATGCTTTGCAGGTACTAAGTTAAAAAGAATCAGTTTAGTTTAATCTAAAATGCCGTATTAAAGTCAGCCATTTAATCATAAGCTCCCTAAGCCCTAGTAATGAAAAATAATCAAAACTACATATTCTATGTTAAGAAAGGTACACCTATATACAAGAACATCCCAAGCAAATTTCAATACAGAAGCCACCTATATTCACTGTAAATAGCTTCAAGTGAAACGATCTCTGCTTAAAAATTAAAAGGTAGCCTGAACATATTAACAGCCAGTAATCAAACTGCATTTTGATAGGCAACTCTGAGTCAAAAGACAGTGCATTCACTGCAAAAACTGGGTTGCTGTCTCAAATAGCAAATGAGTAATTTTCAGATTTAAAATTCACTATGCAACACGGTTCATTTTTGCCTACATGGGGGTTTGCTAGAATAGTCCCCTCTCCTACCCCATTAATGACAGTGTCCTTCCATTCAAAGGAAAGTTCTGAGCTGGGTAATGGAAAACATTCAGAGTTAACTATGGTTGGGAAAAACTACTAAATCCAGGACACTGAAGTATCTTCAAGACAGCTGGGGAAAAAAAATGTTAAAAATCTTTAGCTAGTCAGTATCGACTGAAAACATTCACAAAGGTACTACTATAAGCAATATGAAGTCAACATTTCAGGACTGCAATACATCGAAGGCAGACTATTAATAGTCAAAATTGTTATTAGAGAAGTAGAGAAAGGAACACTAAGAGACTTAACTTCCATAGTTAGCTAGTCTGACTGGATTCAAGCTCTCCACAAGCATTTGTAAACCAGAGGCACTAAAGATCGTTAATAGGAAACTACACTTTTACTGCTTTTTCAAATGTTGCTGTTGTCCTACCTAAACATTTGGAACACTAAAAAGTTAAATCACTGTACTGTTTACCAGTCTCTTTTTTTTTGTCTTACTCATATGGTGTGGGCATTAATTTAGATATACTGATACGGGGAAAGAAGAATTAAACCAGGAAGAGAGCAATGTTTTCTAACTAGAGGTGGGCACCAGAATCACTTGGGTAGGCATTCTATCTCAATATAGAAGAAAGTAAATTACACATACATGGGCCCCATCCCTAGAGATTCTGTAATCTACACCTGTCCCAGAAACACAACTGCTATCAATTGTACAGTATGGTAAAGTAGAAAGAACATAAGATTTAAAGTTGAAAATAGGAATTTCTATCCTCCCAGTTACCTATGTAACCTCTAAAATGTTGCTCAACTTTGAGTTTTCTTTTAGTCTTCTTTAATATTGGTATAAAAAAGGTACTCAAAATATTATAGAGAGGATATTTTAAAGAATTATGTAAAAGGGGAGTTTGGGTGGCTCAGTGGGTTAAAGCCTCTGCCTTCAGCTCAGGTCATGATTCCAGGGTCCTGGGATCACACTCCGCATCAGGCGCTCTGTTCAGCAGGGAGCCTGCTTCCCCCCCACCTCCCACCTGCCTCTCTGCCTACTTGTGATCTCTGTTAAATAAATAAATAAAATCTTTTCAAAAATAAAGAATTATGTGAAAAACTTTATAAATTATCGAAACATTATACAAAACATTCATTGTTATTACCCTTTTTTTTTTCAGAAAGTACTTTTCAGACTTCCCCCAAAACAAAGCTGGTCATTTTTCTATCTTTTTCTCCTCATTCTGGTATTGTAGTTGTTTGAACTTCACATGATGCCATTAATAATTCCATGGCCACCAGAAACTTCTACAGGATAATCTTGACCTAACCATTTCTAGAGACCTATTGTCGTTTAAAGGGTGGGAAAAAGTCCATGCAAAAAACACTGCCCGATTTTTCAATGTTCTGGCTTCATTCTATATTTAAAAGTACTATAAATGTCCCCTCTGTTACGTATCTTTACATATAGTTAATGTTCTCTATTTATAAATCCTATGACGTAAACTAACGTTACCTCTATTTTACAGATAAGGAAACTGAGGCTCGAAGAAGTTAAGTAACTTAGCAGAAATTACTAACCTAAGTTCTGGGGTTAGGATTCAATTTTAGGCTAAGTCATTTACTACATGAATTCTGCTACAAGAAACAATTTCACTTTAAAATAGCATAAATAGTGAAGCGAATGACCGGTTTCAGGCTACCTTAAGTATGAAATACTCAAGACAGAGAAGGCTACGTATTTAGAGGA